AGTCTTAGTTTCTTTATTGCTATTTTTACATTACGCTGTATTCTATAGTACCTGTAGTTTTAAGTTTTTGAATCCCAGAAATGGCTCTTAGCACAGGCCTGACTTTGAAATTCCATTTCTTGGATCTTCCCAACTATAAGAAAGGATAAATTAATACCTCTATCTCATATTGTCTTTTATCCAAGCAGAGGCTAATGCTCAGAAAACTAACAGAACATTCCTTTGCCTTTATAATTGCTACCTTACAAAGGCAAGTCCTCACTGAGTAGTCATCTTGGCAAAATATGACTTTTTACTACAAATGGAAATGGTTATTCAACCTCAGACTCAGCTTATGGATACTCTCTTCCCTTACTTTTTACTCGGGGACTGAGAAGAAATGTCCCAAATCTTTAACCTTTCTGGGTTAACTACATTCTCATACAGGAGGCCCCACTCTTCAAGCAGGCCTGTCACTCCATGTCACACAGAGGAGAATAGCCCCATTTGCATTTCTCCTGCAGACCCTCTACTCAGACTCTTCCTCTGGATAGAAGACAGCCTTGATTGTTTGTATCCTCACCCAAAGCAAGACCCGTGCAATGCCAATATCAAAAAGGTATACAATCCCGTCTCATAGGAGGAAGAGGAGTTATATCAAGATTTCTGTCATGGATGTCTCTCCTTTTAAAGATCAGCTTCATGTGTATGTCTCAATATCCCAACTCATCTTTGGTTCATGATCATATCCCTGATCATGTATCAAATGAATTGTGTGTACTTTTTTCTCAGAAGAAAAGACACGCATGACTATCCTGAGAGAGAACTAATAATGGATCAACAAAACAAATCTACTGAAGCCCTGTTTGATGTATCAGTAAGTTAGTGGAGTTCTTTATAGGTGTCTAGGTGGGGGTTACTTACAGGAGAAGGGATGAAACAAAAACAAATGACCTACTGAAAAACCCATCCAAGCATGGGTGATTTTAGAGAGCAAAGAGCCTTGTGCAAACAGATACGCACTGGAGAAGCCAGGAAAATTAAATTCACAGGTAACTTCTTGAAAGGAATGAGGAGGGAAGCTGTTCTTCCTGGAATACTAGGAATGATGTAGTTTTACAACCCGGTGGTCCTCTGTTGTCTGATGAGACAGGTTCTGACATGTCTCCCAGAATTTATGTTTTACTTTTCCAAGACCTTTTCTCCTATTTTGAGCATTGTTTTTAGACCATAAAACCCACTCTTATGAGTGAGGTCACTTGTACTTTACAACAGCCAAAGTGACTTCTGTGTTATTTTAGAAACAGGGAAATCCCAACACCCACAGGTGTTACGCTTACCTCAGTAAAACTCCCTAAACCCTACATCTTGGACACTATCTGCCACTGACCACACCAGTCGGGTATGGGATGTTCTGGGACATGGTTCCTCAAAGACTAGATGGGTGGGATTTGGTGGTGACAAACAGAAAAAAAAAAAACAGAGGCAGTTTAAATCTGAGTGTATTTTGTAGCTCTCAAGCAAGGTTTTTATAAAAGAAAAACAGGTATTACAATTCTAAAAGATGTGTCCAGTGAAGCAGTCACAAAAAATAATTATCATAATCATTTGGCACAACCCCCTCCCCACAAAATCAATCAGGTATTACATTTCCTAAATAGTGAGTTCAAAGAATCAATTACAAAGGGAACAGATAACATCATTATCACTAAATAGAACAAAATACAAAATTCACTTATAGTTAATGGCAAACTTTTAGAAGCGAATTCAAAGTCTTCAAGGGCACTTGGTTATAACCCCTAGGTCCTGATCAAGTTAATAAATTTCTATGAGTAATCCTTACCTAACATCTAGTTTCTGTATTATTAAAAATTCTCAAAGTTCAATTTAAAACTATGCTTAAACAATGCTTTTTATACCACAAGGTCAGAGTCAACCTTATCTACACATGCACAGCCATACAAATTTATATATTTTTGGGAGGATGTTTTATCAAAGTATTATTTTCTAATTATGTAAATGATTATGAAGCAAAGAGTTGAATATCTCAGAGAGGAGGTCATGGCCAGTGACCCCATTTCAAGGGGTGGCTTATTATTCAAATTTCTCACTTAAAATCTTGGCCCAGGCTATCAGGAACATCTCGTAAAGATAGAAAAGGAATAGAAGAAGATAAAGCAGATAAACTGCCATGAGAACTACGGCTCAATAATGTCTCTCTGGCTAGAGAGTTCCACAACCGGTTCCAGGGGACCTCCTCCCTTTGGAGTCTAATGCTTCAGTCTGTGGAACTTGTTATACAGAATCTACTGGGATTGGTGTGGCATCTTTTCCTTTTTTATTTTTAATTGAAGTTTGTAAAATCTCTTTTGGCAGTGGAAATGAAAAAGAAGACTAGTCTGAAAATGAGTGGAAGAATAAGAAGAAGAAAAATTATTTTTGCAGCTACGGCAACAACAAAAATTTAATGTAACCAACTTATTGGGTTTAAAGACCACAAACCAGAATTAATAGACTGAGCCAAATCTTTTAGATTAATAGACCCATCATGTGTCTTGCTCATAGTTGAGATTTGAGTTTGTAATTGAGCCATATTATGAGTAATATCATTGTCTTTTTAAATTTTTAACAAATGAGTTTTAACTTACGATTTTTTATCATATGATAATGGCATTAATATATGTATCGAAAGCTGGCATGGCACTTGGTAGAAAGCTGAACTTTAATATTTTTTATCTATTGTCTTAATTTTAAAACTACATCCTTTAAAACATAAAGCTTTGATTTTAATTTTTTATTTATAATTTGTTGTCTTACTAGTGTCAAAGAAATATTTTTATTTAAATCATTAACAAAATGTTTAGCTTTTATATCTGAGACTAGAGTGGTTGATGAAACTGTAAGTGAAGTTATAATAGCTATTAAAGCATTAATATCTAAAATTAAAGCTGTCATAAAATGTTTTGGTCTAATGAGTTTATTAACTTTTTTAAGTGTTTGTAAGACTTTATTGTCAAACCAAGCATTATCTTTTAAATCTAAAGGAAGCATAACTTAGGAAGGTCTTTGTAATATCAAAATGACTGGATAAGTCTTAGCTAATCTAGAATTAACACAATTAGTTGAAATACATCTGGAACAGCTAACCTGATAATTTAACAATTTTTAATTCTGAAGATTATTTAGCAAATATAATGATAGCCTAGGCAAGATATAATTTTTATAGGAGTGTTCTTAGATTTTTGAGGCTTTTTAAATAAGATAAGCTAGTTGTAGCAAAAAGTCTGAATAATCTTGGAAAAAAATTTTAAAAAACACCTGAGGGAGAATGACTGACATAAATAGGTTTGACCCATCCTGGTGTGAACCATCTATTAACAGGCTTTTTTGTAAATACCTTAGGCTTATATCCATGAAAAAGTAATTTTTAAAAAATAAATATGCTCTGTAATTATTAAATGGTGAAACTATAAGATAATCATAAATTATTTTTGAGTCTTTTAAGGATTATGTATTGAAGCCCAATATTTAAGTATTCAAACCCATATTTAAGCCAATTCAGCCTTACATTCCTAAGCAAAGTTTTTGTATATCTTATCTTTGTCCCAATATTTTTTAGACATGGTTTTAGAGGAATAGTTTTTGATAGTCTTACCATAGTGTTATTATTGTAAACATCTTTTAAAATCTTTATTTTAATCTCTCATATAAACCTTTTATGATATGGAAGTAACTTTTTTGGAGCCAATTCATCTGGAGCATCAGAAAGAAAAGTTTTATAAGCAATGGGAAAACAACCCATGGGAGGGGTTTCTACTACAGTAATATAAATTGAAGTAGAATTAGACATTTTTCATATTTAAGTACAGTGGAGGTCAAATGAGAGGAAAAATTAGCATGTCCCCCCATCAGCCCAGTGTTATTAGTAATCATCCTGATAGTCACATCATCTTCCCAACCCACTGGATGAAGAAGTGGAGCACGGGGAACATAAGCCCCAAATGAGGCTGTTGAGGCAGGATATACCTGTATAGCAATGACAGCAAGCATAGCAAAAAACATATTTTCAATTGATGATGGCTTTCCAGTATCGGAGACAATTTGCTGTGCTTTTTGGGTGAGTTTTTAAAATTGTCCCCAAGTGGGTGGATTTATTTTTGAGATGGATGACAATGTAGGAGGAGTTGAAGATTCCTGCAAAGAAGAGAGATTGAACTTTTTTATTTTTTATTTTTTTTTGTCTTTTGTCTTTTGGGAGCATTGATAGAGAGTTTTTGGTGAAAAGGTTGAATAAGTCTGTCTGCAATTTAGATTGGTTTTTTTTTATCCTGTGGAAAAACATATTTATATCTTTTTCCTGAGGTTATTAGTACATCTGGCCCTTTTCAAATGCCTGTTAAAAGATTTTTTTTCCAGATTACTAAAGGAACAGCTAAACAGGTAGGAGGTTCTTTTCTTGGCAGCTCAACTGGTCACAGACTCCTTCTAATTAGTTGCTCCTGTAACACTAGGTAGGGGCATTTTGGAAACACTTTGGTAACACTCAAGTTTCAGATTTCCCAGGTATGTGGAGTTTGTTTACTCCATGAGGCTTAAGAACCTCTCCACATGTCCTTAAGAGAATGTTTCAATTCATAGGAAATTGAAAAAAAAAAAACTATGCCTCAGCTGCCAAAGTTCTTTGGAAGTATAAGAAGTATTTACTTGGCAGTGATGGAGGGTTGTGTGTTTTATATATTATGGGTAGCCAGGCTGATAATCCCACAGGGTCTAAAAGCATCCTTGCTTGGTCAGGCCTTTGAAACCTTTCTGGTTTACGTGAGTGAATCTTCTCTGTGGGAACACTCTTTGATTCTGCAAATAGCTAGAATGGCTGCATCATGGTTACTTTGTTCTTCCTCCTTACTCTCTCCAGAGTGTAACTGTCTCTTCCTTTCCCTCACAGCTAGCTACTCCACAACTCAGTGATTTCATCATCTTTGCTTTTTTCTTCCAGCCCCAAGACACAAACATTCAAAAGGATGAAGACTACAACCTGCTCCCTGCTCATCATCATCTCCTTTCTTCAACTGATGGTCCCAGTGAATACCGAGGAGACCTTAGACTCTGTCATGAAGAAGCTCAAGGAAGCTCGCAGTCTAGGTAACTGATGGGGTAGGAGAATGCTGAGCTTAACCAGGGTTCATGTCTCCTATTCCTCTATTATAATTATATCTCTATCCTATTTCTAGACTCCACCCATATTTAATCAATTCTGGCCCTAATTCCCTGTTTAGGATTTCTTTATAATATTATCCTTTTTTGAGTTCACGGTTAAACACTCCATTTTCGTTGATAGTCAATAGACTTAGGAGGTTTATTTTATGTAATTTATGAACACATTTGAAACATAATATAAAAATAATATAAAGTTAGTTCATTTTAATTTTCACTGCCATTGTAAGAGGTAAGCACAACTACTATTTTGACTTCAAATATGAAGACACTGTCTTTTTTTATTGATTTTTATTGAGCTCTGAATTTTTCTCTTATCTCCTCCCTGTTTCTCTCCTCCCGTTCAACCCTCTCCCAAGATCCTCATGCTCCCAATTTACTCAGGAGATCCTGTCTTTTTCTACTTTCCATGTTGATTAGATCCATGTATGTCTCTCTTAGAGTACTCATTGTTGTCTAGGTTCTCTGGGATTTTGATTTGTGGGCTGGTTTTCTTTGTTTTATGTTTAAAAACCACTTATGAGTGAGTACATGTGATAATTGTCTTTCTGGGTCTGGGTTACCTCACTCAAAATGATGTTTTCTAGCCCCATCCATTTGCCTGAAAAATTCAAGATGAAAGACACTAAGTCTTAAAACTTAGTCATTAGCCCACTAGTAAAAACAGGGACATCTCCAAGATAGAGGATGACTAAGAAAGGGAGCTGTAAGAACAAGAGATTATGGCATTAACTCTTATTCTCTTTCCTACAGAGCGTCCTCCCTCTGCTATGACTAAGAGTCTCTCCTGCACTACTATCAATGCTTCAGGTACACTGGCTTCCTGTCCACCAGGTGAGTAACTCATAAGGGGAATTTTGAGTAAGAAGCCCTGTGCACCCCATCAAACTCTAATACCTATATCTTCAAATACATCAGATTTTTCCTGCCATGGAGCTGAGCCATAATCCCAGTTACCTAGACATACCTTCCTGATTTCCAGTTTCCTTAAAGATGTTACTGATGGACCCTGTGTTTGTTTTTCCAGTCACTTTTTCCTTCATATGACAGTCTACCTGGACTTCAATTGTGTGGTCATGGATATGGCCTTCTTTTATTTCCCATTCTATTCCCCTGTAGTGGTAGAATAGGAGCCAGCTCAGAGGTGGATTTGCCATCAATTGGAAGACAGTAAAACACCAAGTCTTTTAAGTGATTTTTTTCTTGATGATCACTCTCAAAATTGATTTAGCTTTATGTCCCACAAAACATAGATATGTGCATGAGTTTCCTAGGGATAACAGTGAAGGACTCTCTATCTTTTAAAGTCCTAGGTCTCTAATGGCCTTTTCTCACTCAACCATGCAGGAATGATTGCTACTGGTTGTTCATGTGGCTTTGCTTGTGGATCTTGGAATGTCCAGAATGAAAACATTTGCCACTGTCTGTGTCCAATCGTAGACTGGACCATTGCCCGCTGCTGCCAACTGAGGATATGAAAAAGATGAGAATCCAGTTTTGAGATAATGATTATAATAAAGCTGTGATTCCACCGAGGAGATCTGATTCATTGTCCTTGTGATAAATTCTTATTACACAGTAATCCTACTTCTTAAGTAATAAAGAGAGATTTGCACTCATCTATGATTATGTCTTCAATGTTATTATTCGTAGCTTGTGGTGCAATGTTGCAAGAAGACAGTTTTAGTAGCTCAATGATTATATTTCACTGGATCTGAGATGGGTTGCCAAGAAAGAACATTTTGAGGACAATGGATCTCCCCCATTCAATTCTCCTACTCACAAATTTTAATACAAAGTATAAGTACATTGGATGGCATGAAATACAGAGAAATGGAATAGCATGCTTTTATGGGAACCAACATCTACAACATATTCAAATGAGTTAAAGTAGCTAAGATTTGGAAGACTATAAAGTGTGGACAAGTGGGGGGAAATTTAAAATAATTATGTTCTAACTTTTCAACATGTATGTATATGCCTTACAATTCAAGTACCTTAAAGATGGCTTTAAGGTAACTTCTTTCCCAATCACATGTCTCACATATGTTGAAAACCACCACAGTCCTCACCTGTTACTGAGATTTATGATATTGCACCTTACTGGAGCATAAAAAAGTCACAGGATCCCAAAGCAAAAACTAGTTTAATATATTGATGACATTGTTAAGAAAGTGAAGAAGTGGTTGGGTGTTAAATGTTTTATAAGGTTGGGGGTATCTAATTTTGAGCCTTTGAAGAGTCTATAATTCATGTGTCAACTTTAGACTATCAAAATAATTTTAAGTAACAAATAATGGTGTGACTATTGAGAACTTAAAAAGAATTATAAATTAACTACAACTACAATAAAAATCTTCTCTTTCCATCTTGTTAATTATGGTAGTAGGTTTCTCAAAGCTAGGAGCCATGAAGAACCCATTTTTTATATTTAAAATTCACATAAAATAGCCAGCCATGTTAGTGTATACTAGTAATCCAAGTATTGAAGGGGCATAGACAGGCAGATTCCTTGGACTTACTGCCTAGCCAGGGCAACTGGATTGGCAAGCTTCAGGCAAAATGAGAGAACGAGATGGACAAAATCTGAGGACAATTACAAGAATTGACTTCTGGCCTGCTCACATATGTACAGATACACAGTGAATGCACACACACACACACACACACACAGACACAGAGTGGAGAGGAGGTAGAGGGAAAAGGAGAGATGGTGAGACAAAAGAGAGGGAGAGAGAGAGAGAGAGAGAGAGAGAGAGAGAGAGAGAGAGAGAGAAAGGTAGGGCTTAAGCGCCAGATTGTACATGTGAAATGAGCATTTTCCTCCAGGGTCAGTTAAGTTCTAGGGGAGGAGTTCAAAGTGTAACAGCTGCCCTAGCATGAGCTAAGGAAACATGAGTTATTTATGTTTCATATTGTGATGTTAATATTAGAGTGAGACCTTAAGAATAAAAAACAAAGAAGAGTTAGAGGTGAATAATCATGTGTTTGCATATCAAGTTGACACGAGACAATTGTCGTGGTTGGATTTTTGTCAACTTGGCACACGCTAGAGTTATATTTAGGCGAAACAGTGGCTCCCCTTTTACTGGGGACACCTTACTGTTTAAATGATAACTACTTTAACTTATTTGAACATTTTATAGGCCAAGCTCTCAGACCGAATTTGCATTGACATTAGACTTTCTCACTTGGTTCTCAGTATTTCTTTTAAACTTACTTTGTCCCAGGGTCTGTTCAGTTCACAATTTCTTGTTTTGTACTCCTGATAAAGTGACAGACTTAAAAATAGAAATAAAATTAAAAAAAATAAATAAAAATCTTTTCAAAAGCAAACATTGTAGTAGCCCTCCAGGTTTTCTGTCTTTTGGACAACACGTTGCTCAGTGCTCAAATCCTAGTACTACTAGACTTCCAGCTTATATTTCACAAAGAGTTTGGCTCCTTGCCAACAAACAGTGACATCCTCCAAAATTATCTGGGTCCTTTCTAGATTTGTGTAAATATAACATATCAATAATTGATGAAAGAGTGGAGTGAATGAGAACTGAGAAAGTGAACAAAAACTGTAGCCGCTGGGCTAGGGAACTGAGACATTATGAAGCCTGTGCCAAACTTGATGTCAATAGGGCATGCTGGGATCACATCCCAGATGTCTCAGATGGCATCAGTCAGCTTCAGTAATAAATGGTTGCTGAAGTTGTCCTTTAATTCTGTATCTGAAATTCTAGACTTCCGAGAGGAAGTACAGCAAAGAAAAGCAGAAGTCTTGAGAGTAGAGCCAGCTCCTAGAGGGAAATCTATGGGCACAACACCCAAGCTGGTGCAAGTGACAGTAGATAATGGCCATTCAGTTTGATAACACTGCCTTAAAGTTTCATGCCCAGGTCTTTCTAGGGTTTGGCATGGAAAAGACAGAATAATAGTGATGGAGGATATGCCAGTGTGTGTAACACCCATGATGAGTATGTTTAGTGATGTACTATAAAAACATAAACATCTTTAAGAATTCTAACTCCTGCAGGTTCATGCGTAGTTTTATAATGAATATTAATTTTCTAGGAGAAGGGAAGGGGGTCAACATCCATCACCATACCACTGCTTTTGAAACAAGTTTGTTTAGGAGAATAAAAAGTTTGAAGCTGAGTATGAGAAGCCTTTGTGGTCTCAAGTGGTTTAGCACTTAAACTGAAACCATTTGTTTTATTTATTTGTTTGCTTGCTTATTGATTTTATTGAGCTCTACATTTTTCTCTTCACTCTTCCCTTACTTCTTCCTCCCTTTAAGCCCTCTCCCCTGGTCCCCATGCTCCCAATTTATTCAGGAGATCTTATCTTTTTCTACTTCCCATGTAGATTAGATCCATGTATGTTTCTCTTAGTGTCCTCATTGTTGTCTAGGTTTCTCTGTGATTGTGAATTTTAGGCTGGTTTCCTTTGCTTTATGACTAAAAGTCACTTATGAATGAGTACATATGATATTTGTCTTTCTGGGTTTAGGTTACCACACTCAATATGATGTTTTCTAGCTCCATCCATTTGCCTGCAAATTTCAAGATGTCATTAATTTTTCTGCTGTATAATACTCCATTGCATAAATGTACCATATTTTCCTTATCCATTCTTCAGTAGAGGGACATTTAGGTTGTTTTCAGGTTCTGGCTATCACCAAAAATGCTGCAATGAACATAGTTGAGCACATGTCCTTGTGGTACAATTAAGCATTCTTTGGGTATATACCCAAACATGGTATTGCTGGGTCTTGAGGAAGGCTGTTTCTTAATTTTCTAAGAAATTGCCACACTGACATCAAAAGGGGCTGTACCAATTTGTACTCCCACCAGCAATACAGGAGTGTTCTCTTTACCCCACATCCTCTTCAGCATAAGTTGTCATCAGTGTTTTTGATCTTGGCCATACTTACAGGTGTAAGATAGAATCTCAGAGTTGTTTTGGTTTGCATTTCTCTGATGTCGGAGGATGCTGAGCATTTCCTTAAGTGTCTTTCAGCCATTTTAGATTCCTCTGTTGAAAGTTCTCTGTACTCCAATTTTTACTGGATTATTTGTTCTTTTGATGACCAGTTTCTTGAGTTCTTCCTATATTTTGGAGATCAGACCTCTGTCTGATGTGGGCTGAGTGAAGATCTTTTCCTGTTCTGTAGGCTGCTGTTTTTTTTTTCTTGCTGCCCATGTCCTCTGCTTTACAGAAGCTTTTCAGTTACAGGAGGTCCCATTTATTAATTGTTTCTCTCAGTGTCTATGCTACGGGGGTTATATTTAGGAAGTGGTCTCCTGTGCTAATGCATTAAAGTTTACTTTCCACTTTCTCTTCTATGAGGTTCAGTATAGTTGGCTTTATGTTGAGGTCTTTGATTCATTTGGACTTGAGTTTTGTGCATGGCAATAGATAATGGATCTATTTTCATTCTTCTACATGTTGATATCCAGTTCTGCCAGCACCGATTGTTAAATATGCTTTCTTTTTTCCATTTGATATTTTTTTGCTTCTTTGTCAAAAATCAGGTGTTCGAAGGTGTGTGGATTAATATCCGGGTCTTTGATTCATTTTCATTGTTCCTCCTGTCTGTTTTTATGCCAATACCAAGCTGTTTTCAGTGCCCTGGCTCTGTAGTAGAGTTTGAAGTCAGGGACTGTGATACTTCCAGAAGTTTCTAAATTGTACAGGATTGTTTTGGTTATCCTGAGTATTTTGCTTTTCCAAATAAAGTTGAGTACTGTTCTTTTGAGGTCTGTGAATTTTGATGGGCATTGCATTGAATCTGTAGATTTCTTCTGGTAAGATTGTCATTTTTACTATGTTAATTCTACCTACGCAAGAGCATGGGAGATCTTTCCATTTTCTGGTATCTTTTCGAATTTCTTCCTTTAAAGATTTAAAGTTCTTGTCATACAGGTCTTCCACTTGTTTAGTTAGAGTTACTCCGAGATATGGTATGCTGTTTGTGGCTATTGTGAAGAGTGATGTTTCTCTAACTTCCTCTCAGCCCATTTATCATCTGTGTAAAGGAAAACTACTGTTTTGTTTTTTGTTTTTTGTTTTAGTTTATCTTGTATCCTGCTACATTACTGAAAGTGTTAATGAGTTGTAGCAGTTCCTTGGTAGAATTTTTTGGGTTGCTTATGTAAACTATTATATCATCAGCAAATAGTGAGGGTTTGACTTCTTCTTTTCTGATTTGAATCCCCTTGATCTGCTTTTATTGTCTTATTGCTCTAGCTAGGACCTCAAGAACTATATTGAATAGATATGGATAGAGTGAACAATCTTGTCTTGTTTCCTATTTTAGTGGGATCTCTGTGAGTTTCTCTCTAGTTGAATATTGGCTGTCAGCTTGCTGTATATTACCTTTATTATGTTTAGGTATGTTCCTTGTATCCATGCTCTCTCCAAGACCTTTATCATGAAGGGATGTTGTATTTTGTTGAAGTTTTTTTTCAGCATTTAATGAGAGGAT